AGCCATGGTGTTGGGGGTACAGGTCTTTTTGAGAACCACAAGGATCAAGCACGAGGCTCCAAAGCAGAGCTGGGAAACTGAGGCAGAGGGGCCTCTCAGCAACTGTGAGGTCCACGCAAGCCTTCAGAAGGGCTTGCTCTGCATGATGACAGAAACACTCTGTCTAGTGTCTAGGCACGAAGGGAAAACCCAAACGCTACCACTGCCAGCCTGATGGAACCCCAGAGGGAAGGAAAAGAACCTGCCTCCTAGGAGCTCTCCATCTGAGATGGAAGCAGCTGAGAGTGCAGCCGAGTGGTGTGGACCAGACACACCCGGTTTTGAGCCTATGGAGCCTCAGTTGGTCACTGAGTGACCCATGGCCTGTTTCCTCATGAAGAGGGGCTGGGCTCCGTGACCTGAAACTCTGGGAATTCTGTATCTGTCACCAGAAGATAACTGACCTGCAGGTTTGACAGAGTAAGAAATAGTTTGAGAGTGAGCAAAAGATGTCTTCCTGTTGCCTTCCCTGGACTCCTCACCCCCACCCTCCAGAGCCGCCTACACCTTCCCTCCAAGGACCGAGAGCAGTAACTACCGCAGCAGGTCTCCAAATGAAGCCACTATCCCTAGAGTGGGACTGTGACAGATGAACCCAACTCGCTCTTCCCACAGGGCCTGCTCCAGGAAGCCACGGAAGGGTTAGCAGCGGGGAGGGGAGCGAATGACGAGGCAGAGGAAGTTTTCAGGGAAAAGCTTTGTGAAGCCGAGACCGGCTTGGCTCAATGGATAGAGCGTCGGCTTGGGGACTGAAGGGTCCCAGGTTCGATTCTGGTCAAGGGCATGTACCTTAGTTGCGGGCATATCCCCAGTAGGGGGTGTGCAAGAGGCAGCTGATCGATGACTCTCTCTCATCAATGTTTCTAGCTTTCTATCCCTCTCTCTTCCTCTCTGTAAAAAAATCAATAAAATATATATATATATATATATTTTTTTTTTTTTAAAAAGAAAAGCTTTGTGAAGATCCAGGTTCCCATAACTGCCCCCACGGACATGAGAGTTGGGTGGTTCTTGACTCAGGGCAACTAACGGTTCCAGTGGAAACCATATTATTTATAACCCAGGTACAACTTTATCCTGGGGCCTGCACCATAAAGGAAGAAACTACAGTGTGAGCAATTCCTCATGCCAACTTACAACACCTCTGCAGGCAAACATTCAGAGCACAACACCCCCGAGAAAGAAGCTGTAGGATGGTGCCTCAGCACATTCCCCAGATAGCCCTCTCATCGACTCACCTACCCACCCCAGCCATCACCCACCCTGCCGAGAGAAAGCTGCTACCTTTCTGCAGACATGTGCATCTTGGCTGTCGACTCCTTCTATTGCCTTTTCCTCCGTGTCTAACTCCTGTGCTCCATGGTCTAAAGTGAAACTATCCTGGCTGGTGGAAATCTGCTTGGAGTCAGCAGGAACAATCCCCTCCTCTCCACTCCCTTGTCTTTCCTTTTTTTTTTTTTTTTTTTTTTTTTGGACAGCAAGGCAAAGAGAAGCAGAGGAACCACTTTATACTTGCATAGAGCTTTCTTTGATTTACAAACCACCCACACATCTATGATCTCATCCAGCCTCATAGCAACCCAATGAGGTAAACCTGCTCTCCCCCCCCCCGCCTCACACACAATAAGGTACACCTACCACACGGCACTGTTAGGGGAGGACACACAGTGAGCACAGTGCTAGCTCCTAGGCATTAGACACAGCGAATTATCACCTCTAGCGCAGTGAGAAGCGGGGAATCAGAGGCTGGACCGTTGAGTCCAGGCGTCTGGGGATCTAGAGCAAGCTGGGAAGATAGATTCTTTACACCACGTGCCAATATGCTCTAATTGTTCCAATCCTGACGGCGACGCATTTCCCCGCGGGCCCAGCCACGCTGGCAGGAAGGGAGCCCAAAGTCCTGGCTCCATCCCCCGTCCTCTGCTGGCCCAACACTCAGGGCAGCAGTTCTCTGGACCTTTGTGTCGTCATCTTTTCTTTTTTTAGACCAAACAATGGAATGTCAAGCTTCCAGATCAAAGGCTCTATTACAAGCACAACATATCGTTTAATTACACGGCTGCTCCAGTTATCTGCTTCCCAGCGCCTCCCTCCCCCGGGGCTGACCGTGAAACCACACAGATTACCTCGAGTGGGGAGAACAGGAGAAACATTCTCTCCCTGAACTTTCTTAGATGGAAGGGAGACACAAAATGAAAAGAAAGGCCCATTTTCCAAGGAGGGGGCTGGGGCAACGGTCTTCCTGTTAAGCAGACCTGCAGAAGAATCTATAGATTACTTAACGCCGGGGGTGGCTGCGGAGTGGAATAAAGGAACCTTTGTGTGGTGCCAGCCACGGCTCCCTCAGTCCTAACCCACAGCCAGGCATTTAACCCAACTCTTTAAATCATCAAGCTCTAATGCACTCCATCTGTACACCGGTTGTGGCCAACCAAACTGAAGCCTGTGCTGACTTTGGCCTGGATTTGTGAATGAGCCTTTCTGCCCCAGAAGGCCCTGGAGAGAGGACAGGAGGCCAACAAAGTCTCTCTTGCTCGTCACTTGTCCTCTCCCAAAGCTCAGGCTCCATCCATGCATGTATTTGATCACGTATTGAGCTCTTGCCGAGGGTGGGACTCTGACCCAGCGATACAGAGCTAGCAGGAAATGGCCCCAGGTGGGAGAGACTGTGTAGGGGCTCCTGGGAGAGAGGAAGGTGAGGAAAAAGGGCTGCCCTTGGCTGAGGCACAGCGGCCAGAAATCCTGTCTGTATATTTAGGGAATGCTGCTTAGTTCCAAGTGGTTGGAACAGCAAGCAAGGAACTGGCAGGAGCCCTAACGCAAAAGGCTGGCTTTGCCAGATCATTCAGGACCCGTATTCCAGGCCAGAGATGAGAGTGACTTTGAAGGTCATTGCCATCTCCCCATAGTCACTTCCGCCCATCCTACAGGGCCCACTTCCTCCAGAAATCCTCCTTAAACATGTTCACAGTAATTGCTCCTCTTCTTTGAGCCTCCAGTTTGAGTTCTTGGACAACATTTATAACTCTCAACTTCTCCATCTACATAAAATATGACTAATATCGCCCAACCGGTGTGGCTTAGTGGTTAAGTATCAAACCATACATCAAGAGGTCTCCGGTTGGATTTCCAATTGGGGCACATGCCTGGGTTGTAGGCTCAATCCCTAGCAGGGAGCGTGCAGGAAGCAGCCGATCGATGCTGATGTTTCTCTCTCATTGATGTGTCTATCTCTCTCTCCCTCCCCCTTCCTCTCTCTCTTTTAAAAAAACAAACAAACAAACAAAAAAACCCCACACATTTAAAGGGGGAAAAAGAAGGCTGAAGATATTTTAAAAAACGAAATATGACTAATGTCACCTACTTTAAAGGCTTCTTACGAAGGTTAAGTGGGATAACAAAATGTCAAGTAGCAGGTTTTTAGGACAGAGAAGGCGCTAAAATGCATTTCACTGGTCCCTCAATTTCTTATGATCCAGAGCACTTCTTCCTGGTATTAAAAAAAAACACAACACATCTTGGCTTCCACTTTCTCTGGAGGTTTTCAGAAACAGGACAACTCACATTTTCCCTTCAAGCTTGCAGGCACTCTTCCAAAGCAAAGAGGACTGAATCCTGTCTTCCCTCGCTGACACAGCCTCCCCCATCCAAACTTCCACACTCAAGGGGTTCCCGTAAGATCCAAGGCACCTGAGACAACACGAGTTAGGTGAAAGAGGAGGAAGCCCGAGGCTGGCTGAAGCAGCAACAGCGGGAAGGGGCGTAACCGGAAGAAACCCAGAGGAGGGAGGTGGGCCAGGTGTCAGGACTCGGAAGGCTCCAGGGTTCAAGCTGGGTGGTGACCCTGGACCCTGGAATGGGCCTAGGAGGCGGCGGCTAACCCCGGTCCTGACTTACGAACCCTTACACCATACACGGCCGTTCAGCAGCCTTCCTCCTGTCCTGTGGGCCAGCCAGCTGGACACGACGGTTGTAGAGCTGTTGCTCCTTCTTCCCTCTCTGGCCCAGGGCAGGGAAAATGATGCCACCTTTTCTAGCATTTTTTTTTTTTAAACTTAATCTGGGTCTGCATAAAGGCTTGTTTGTTTCTTTTTATCTTTTTTTTTTTTTCCTTCTTTTCTTTTTCTTTGATTGAATGGCACTAGTACAGGGTCAGACGATTTTCCTGCAGCCTCGTAAAACCTGCTTCTCCTCCCGTGGGGACTCAGGGCCCGGAGGGAAGCACTCCCCTGAGAGAGCTACTCGAAGGAGCCAGTTCCTAGACTGTACAGCGGAGATGTGGGGTTTATTTATTTTTTCAAATCCCCCCACCCCCACCCCAACCTCAGAAAGCAGTTGCCAAGGCTCCTCTGGAAAATAAGGGTTCCATTTTTCTCTTCTGATTGGGATCAAATGCCATGAAAAGGCCCTAATGGTCAGCTCTTCACCAAGTCTCTCTGGTCCTCCCCAAAGTCAACAGTCTCCTGGCCTTGAAAGGCAGTCTCCTCACTCGTCTCAGCTGAGAACCCGCTACAAGACATCCCGGCCCACCAACTCTCTTCCAACTCGCTTTCCAGGCAGGCAGCATCCTAGACCGTGTTCGTCTGCCAACCTACGCCAAGCAAGCCGAGCCAGAGGCTCCAACCCCGCCTTAGCCCCTCTCCCCTCTCTGGCCTGCCAACCGCCATTCCCCACAGCCTCCAACAGGGATGACATCCAATTTCCAAACTAACAAACTAGCACACGCCCTCTCCAACTCAGTTATTTCTCAGCTAGATGAGACAGCCATGGGGGTCAGCCCCTCCCCCACTCCCACACACACACCCCCACTCCCCCTGCGTGTCCCTCCCCCCCAACCCGCCCCCGAATTGAAGATGCAGCACCAATACCCAGGCTCTTGGAGAGCTGTGACCCTCTGCACCTTTAGGGGCAGGAAGTGCCCTCCCCAGGGAAGGCGAGGCGGGCCTGCAGGGAACGTGTACCTTGGAAATGAGTTCATCGTGGTTGGCCAGGTGGGCTCTGCAGTGAATGCAGCTGTAGGTCCGGTGGCAGGAGGGCAAGTAGGCCTGGAAGGTCTTGGATCTTGTCATCTTCACCATTGGTGCCGCTGAGCGAGGGGTGAACTCCGGGGCGGCCCACGAGGCACTCCCACAGGACGGGTCGCAGGGGAAACACCGGAAGACACAGGTAAAGGCCGTGGTGTGGCGGGGGGCGGGTGTGGGGCGGGCTCCACACACTGGCAATGTCTTCAGAGGAAGGACCCTCAAGCAGAGGTCTCGGGCCGGTGCTCAGCAGCCTGCGGTACCAAGATCAGGGAATACCATTAGCTGAGGGAGCTGGGCTCCTGCAAAGCGAGTCGAGTCCAACTTGCCACCAGGAGGGCAACATTTTTAGGGTGAAATGACCCCCTTCTGCCTCCTGCACGGTGTCAAGATGCCCCCAGAAGGAGAAGAAACCACCGGAGATCCCAGAACTGCTGCTTCCCTCGAGTTGGAGGTTCGGGATCTCAGCAGTCCCTCCGCTGATATACAGCAAACTGGCAGGATCCCCATCCCAGGGAGCCCCGCAACAGGGCGGGCGTAAGCGTGCTCCCTGTCACCCCTGGGAGAGGGCTCCGAAGGGCCCCCCCATCCTGAGCGACTAAGACAAATGGCAGGAGGGAAAGGAGACCTTCAGCCTCCAGAGAGTCATCACATCCGCAGCCACATCTGGATTTCTCATCCGTTTCCAACACGTGAACCCCCACCTGTGGAGACGGCACCCCCACACCGCCCTTTGCTAATGGACTAAACGCATGGGGTACAAAGGATCGAGTTCCCGACCAGCCAGGTCCCTCGTGGCTGGCCAGCTTTTCTGGGAGAAGTTATTCCCTCTGCCCTATCTCGCCCAGAAGTAGGGGCTTAGTATATTAAAAACAAGCAAGCAAGCAAACAAAAAAACAACTCTGAAGTGAATAAATGAAACCAGTGAAATAAACTCCTGCACCTAAGATTCCCAAGGATAGTGAGGAGGTTACCAGAATCCCTCCTCAGCCCTCATCCCCCGGTGCCATCTCTCTATCGGAACCTCAGTTCTATTGGGAACCAAGGACGCTGTAGACTGTGGGATGGCTCCCAGGGTGTGTCCACGTCAAGGTCAGAGGGCCCCAAGGTCTCAGCCTCCCTCAGCTCAAGCTCACTGGCCTGAGGCTTCTGGACCTGCCTAGTCCACTGGCTTCACTCTCCGGGGGTGGTGTTCCCATTTGCCACCCTCCCAGGAGAGCCGGAGTGTTAATTACCACCTGTGTCACGCTTTGAAGATAAAATTATTCAGAGAGATGGGAGAGGAAGATCAACAAAACCAATCTTCCTGGCTGGATTATGCCTGGAATCCATCTGGCTATCTAGAGAATGTCTGCAAATCACAGCTCTTTTTCCTCTAAACCTCACTGGAACCACATCTACCCCAGGGAGGCTGCCCTCCGTCCTGCCCCCAGCAGCCACGGAAGGTCGCTGCCTCCCTGGAACTCCACCTTCCTGAGCCGTCAGTCCCGCCCGCCAGCCCTGGGCACTACCCTCACCCCCGTCCCTGTGCACCCGGAGCCAAGCAGGGTCCACACCCATGAGATGTCCAGTCGCTGAAGGAATTCCGGCCTGTAGGGGCCCAGTCTTCCCTCTGCACAGTCTCTTTTGAAAGCTGTGCAACCTGGTTAAACTGGACATTACAGAAGTAACTTGAAGAATATGGAGGTGAGAACTGACTGACTCAGTGCTGGGCAGGAATTCCCAGGGCCCTTGGCTCCAGGTCCCATTCACCTCCCGCTGGACACACGCTGGGAGCGGGCCAAACCAAAGCCCCTGGGAGTGTCGCAGGGCACTTGGGTTCCTGAAATGCCCTCGCACTTCCCCACACTCCTGTCCCACCCTCAGACGGCACAGGGTTCCCAGGAAAGAGTCCTGTATTCTCAGGGAAGGAACAGAAGAGACAGGAGGGAAGCGAGCAGGAGGCTTGCTCAGGGCTGGGCTCCCGGAGGCCGTGTCTTCGCTGCCCAGGGGGGGGGGGGAGCGAGGAGAGCGGGCCTCCTCAGTCTTAGACAAACACTGAGGGACGGAGAGGAAACAAAGAGCCCGGCCGCCCGGCTGGGTTTACAGAGCAGCCACAGGGTCTGTTTTCTTATACGCGCAGCTGGCTTCTAAATTATGGTTTCCCCAGAGTAGAATTATTTCTGCTCTCACTTCTCTTCTGCAGGAAACAAAACAAACAAAAAAAAGTTTGTAGGCAGGGGGTTCTGGTTTTGCTCTGCTTTAAATCTGAATCGCAAAACGTATTCAAACCTACCTTCTGAGCAACAGGCATTTACACGGCCTGTATTGGACGTATGTCCCATACAAACACATGCCCAGGCACACACATGCACTGCACTCCGCAGCTCTGAACTGGAAAAGACAGAGAAAGGCCAGCCCTGCAGGCAATGGCCTGGGCTGCCTGCGGCTGGGAGAGGCCCGGGAGCCAGGCCCCAGTGCTGTCTGCGCTGCTCCAGGCACTGCCTCCCCCCTCACAGGGCACAGGAGGCTCCTGGCTCCAGAGGGAAGGACAGGAGGCGCGTAGGGCTGTGACATGAATCTTGTTCAACTGGCCCAGGGCAAACGAGAAGGGATAAGGGGGGGGGGGGGGCGGGGGGGGGGGAATGAGTGAAAAGCAAGGTGAAGCAGCATCAGGAAAGGACCTTGTGTCTGAGAGAGAAGAGACCGAACAAGAGGGAAGACAGCAGATGCCGGTCAGGGGCGGGAAAATAACTACCCTCTTACGGGGAGATTTTTAAAGCTTCTTTGAGTTGGTTTGTAGGAAGGAATATAACATAAGTAAGGGGCATGTTGCTGATGTTGTTTTTTAAGGAAGAAATTGAGGGGATGGGGCTACAGGCTCCATGGAGTTTCCTAACGCCAACCTATTGATTTCCAGTAATAATCAAATGAGCTCAATAGTTTAAAAACCTCTGGGCACAGGTACAAATGAAACACCATTTTAAGGGAAGTGATAATCCATCACAGTTGAAATTAAAGAAAGATTTGCTACCACCCCCGGCTGGCTCCCGCTGACCAGCACAGAAAGAAAATATGTGGACTGTGTTTATGATTAAAAACAAAGACCTTCGATGCACCACTGAGAGCCACGTGCATAGGAGAGGGAGCACGGGCTGAAATGGGCTGGTCCGCCTGACGGACAGGCCTGCTCCCCAGGGGGCCACGACTGCAGCTGGGACTCAACACAGAAGCTGTGTGTGTCCCCAGGATGGAGGGAGGGAGAGAGGGATGAAGGTACGCCAAGGGCGTGGGAGCAAAGCTCTCCTGACACACACCCAGCGCCACAGAAGCTGCGAAGGTGGAACTCACAGGGGAAGTGACACCTCCAACCACAGGCCGGGCCCGGTGTGTCGGCGTTGTGTGGGGTGCCGTGTTGTGTCTGTGGGATGTTTTGGTGGAGGGGAGGCGAAGACTGCCTGCAGAAGACGTGAGATCTGGAATCACAAACCCGCTCTGCTCCTTTCCGGCTGAGCGATCTGGGGCAAGTTATTCAACCACTCTGACCTTCGGCTTCCCCAAACGCTAATAATACCAGCCTACAGAGGCTAGGAGGATTAAATGAGATGATGTAAGTGCATATTCACAACGCTGGCACACGGCCCCGGCAGGCCCAGGAGCCTCCTGTGCCCTTTATAGCCACTCTCTGCTGTCAGCCAGCCCGGTCTATTTTAAAAGCAGACTTGACCATGCCACCACTTTCACAGCCTTCAGACAGGCACTACGGGGCAGTGGTTAAGGCAGGTTCTGGACCCAGACTCCGATATTTCAAATTCCAGTTCTATCACTGACTAGCCGTGCGATGCCGGATCTCTGTGGACCTCCCTTTCCTCGTCGAAGAATAGGAGTATCTGCCTCATAGGACTCGTGTGAGAACTAACGAAGTTAATCCATTAAAGTACTCGGCACAGGTGCCCGACATGTGGTTAGTATACAATAAATTCTAACGTGTACGGCCGCTGACCACCATCTACCACTGTTTTCTTATCCACACACCCATACACGGCTTCAGACTCATCACCACCTCATCCTCTACACTCCACCAATTGGACTGACATTTAAAGGAACTCTTAAATGTCAGCGAAGTTCTCACCAGGGGTTCCGCCCTGGGATTGCCGATCCAGAGGTCCCTTGTCCTCTGCACTAAGCGATGGAGTGGTCTGTTGTTTGGAATGACATAGCAATAATACCAGATCCCCAGCTAAGCCCCAAAAACTCACCTAAACCACAGTGTGCCTTTAAGTGGATTAAGTTCGGTCAGGGCACATGCCCGGGGTTGTGGGTTCAATTCCCAAAGGGGTGTGCAGGAGGCAGCCAATCAATGTCTTGCTCTCACATGGACGTTTCTCTTTCTATCTCTCCCTCTCCCAGGAACTCCCCTACACATTCAGATTTGGCAGCCAAACTCTCTGTGGTCCCCCCTCATACACCACCCTTGCATCTCACTCATCAAAGTTTCACTGATGCCATTCCCTCAGCCCGACACACCGTTCTCAGCTCTGTTCGCCAGGCCCTTACTTGACCATGGAGACGGAGCTCACAAGTCACCTCAGCGTTGGGCTTATTGGCCCCTCCTCTGTGCTCACCTCTAGTTCACACCCCACTGAAAGAGAAATTACCCTTTTCTGCCTGTTTCCTCCACTAGAGCAGAGACCGTGTTTCAGTCGTTTTGTACCCGTTGAACTCATGGACCTGAAGTCCCTCTGCCTCTCATTGGGCTGCTGCCTGGACCAGCCCATCCACCCAAGGAGGGTAGCAGACATGACTGAGGCCCCTCCCTTTTCCCAAGTAATGAGATGGGGTGGGGGGTCTCCAGGCTCCATAAAACCCATAAAGACCTGTCACTGGCATCTATGCCCATGCTTTGCATTTACAGGACCATATACACAGTGGGAGCTCTGAGGAAGGCTTTCTGCTAGCTTTGAGGACAGGACAAGAGTGTGGGAGCGGGACCAGCAGCCCTGTTCCATTGGGAGTCAATAAACAGGAGACAGCAGAGGAAGGGAACAGACCAGCCATTTCTGGAACCGGAGACAATA